AGCCAAAGCCGTAGGGAATGGTGACCTTTGTGAAGAAGGGCAAGTGACATGGAAGGCAGGTGGTATTTGTCTACCTGTGTGCAGTTACTTTCTTGTCTGGCCAAGAGGAAAATGGCATTCTCTTGGAAAAGGTGGTCATTACAGGGAATACAAACTGCAGGATAGACTATGTAAAATGCACTCGCCTCCTGCCACCTTTCTTGGTTGCCTAAAGAAAGTTCACATGCACTATAGATAAAGTAGGGCTCAAAGATGAGACTAGAACCTGGCTGACAGAGAGCACCTGGATCCTTCCTTGCCTGAAACCTGAAGGCATATTTCTTGACTTTCTAGCTAGCAACACATCAAAATCTAACATTTTCAATTACCTTAAGCCAATTTGAGCTGGAATTCCATCATTTGAAACCAGAAGTTTATCAGTATCCACGAACCATCTCCCTGGAATTTCCCAATGATTAGCTGCTAATAACTATACAAGAATCAAAACAAACAAACAAACAAACAAAAAAAAACAGCATTGGTGAGGGCAAGAATATTTACAACAGGGAATGTGACAGAGAAAACATGAAGAGGAGCATGCGCATGCGAAGCTGTTTTCAGACTCAAAGTTGTCCCCCTTATTGCAGATCCTGCATCGACGCTACTGCTCTTGTCCCTATTAGGATGTTTCTCATTGCTATAACAAATTAGCTGGGTTGGAGATTGCTCAGTGGTTAAAAGTGGGTACTGCTCTTACAGAGGACCCAAGTTTGGTTTCCAGGCAGCTCACAAGTGTCTGTTACTCAGGCTCTGGGTGATCTGATGCACTCTTCTGGCTCCCAATGGCAACCCCCACACACACACACACACACACACACACACACACACACACACACACACACACACACACATTTACTCCCACACAGACACATACACATGAATAAAATAGTTCTTAAAAAATTATCTGAGGCTGAATGCTTTGTAAAGCAAAAGGGCTTGTTCAGCAGAAGTTCAGATGCTGAAAGTTCAAGGTTGATAGTCCTCAACAGTTTGACCTCTGCTGGGGGCTTCATGACAGACAGTAAAGTCGTGGGAACACACATTAGGCTCTAGTGAGAGAGAAAACCAGAGAATTGGAAGGGGTCCTACTTGCTCTTTTATAACTTGGATTTGTTGAGAACAACTAGGGCTATAAGGCCATTCACTTATTCTTCCAAAGGCACACACCCCAATGGCTTAACCACCTCAAACCAACTTCTACCTCTTGACAGTTTTAACCATCTCAACACCGGTACACTGAGGACCAAGTCTCCAAATACATACCCCCCCAGGGTGGGGGCAGTGTTGCTAAGCTGAACTGTGCCCTCTACTTCTCAAAAGGAAGTGCTAATCCTACAAACTTCAGAATACTATCTTATTTGAAAACAAGGCTGCAGATGCCTTAGTTAAAGCCAAGTCAGACTGAAGTAGCATAGGCCACAGCTCTCTTCCTCATAAGAGAGAGTAACAATGAGAATGACTTAAGATGACCCAGCAGAGGTAAGGGAAGTCGCTGAAAGCCAAGGAAGAGCAGATTGGTGGCCCCAACTAGAAGTCAGTGAGGCCAACGGTGGCTTTCCCCACACTTTGCACGGAAACATGGTCCCTGCAGACACCATGACTTAGGATTCTGGCTTCCAGATATGTAAGTTAGTGCATGCCTTGTTTAAGCCATCCACTACATAATAGCTTGCTAGAGCAGTGCTGGCAGATCAACAAGAGGGTTGTCAAGTCCTGTTTCATTTTGGAAAATAAATCCATCTTAAAGGTTTTAAGACTGTGAGATGTCTCAGTTAGCATATCCGTTGTTGTGATAAAACATCATGGGGAGCAACTTGGGGAGGAAAGGGTTTATTTAGTTTCACAGTTCCTGATCACAGTCCATCATTGAGTGAGGCCAAGGCTGAAACTCAAGGCAGGAACCTAGAGGCAGAAACTGCAACAGAGACCATGGAGGAGTGAGGCTTATTGGCTTGTTCCTATGGCTTTCATAGCTTGCTTTCTTCTATAACCTAGGACCATCTGCCTAAGAGTGGAACCACCCATAGAGGCCTGGCCCCTCCCATATCAATTGTTAATCCAGAAAATGTACCAGAGGAAAATCTTATGGAGCATTTTCTCAGTTGAACGCCCCTCTTTCCAAGTGACTCTAGGTTGTGTAAGCTGACATAAAACCAACAACACTGAGGAGCTATGACATTAAAATTTCCCAAGATATTTGCATTTGAAATGATTGTTGATGAGAAAAGGCAGGAAGTGAACATATAAGGATGGGATTCAGACATCACTGAGGAACAACCTCTTCCCTATGCATCATTACATAATGTCTGTAACTGCTCATCACAGAAGTTCCTCTACTGTGTTGAAGATGACTTAGGATCCGCTGCAGGACAGGAGGAGTGTGATGCAAAAGACTTAAGGTTTCAATTCTAAGGTCCACCCCAGGAATAACTCAAATAATTCCTATTGTTTCACTTTGTTTTCATTTTCCCTGGGCAAAAGAGTTGTGAAGCTAACCTGGGTTAAAAGTCTGTGGCATTATTTAACTCACAGTAAGGCAGTTTTTCTCTTCACCATTTCTGCAAAACGTGTCCACTTCCATGTGTGTTTGTCAGCGAATCAGAGCTGCCCATCTATACTAAGGATCCCAGGTGAGGACATCAAAACAGGGCACAGAATAGTTCCTCCTCCTTGGTCCTTAGGGATTCCGATACTGTAGTGGGAAGCTTCACAGTTCTTTTCTTTGTTCCAGTCTTTCCAGAACCCCAAATCAAAATCCTTATGACTCAAAATGGGCTAGGAGACGGTTAGAAATAAAAGTCAAAATCTATAGTTTATACTTGTTGATTTATGGGCTGTCCTTTTTGCCGCTGGATAAGCAGAGCAAACTATCAGGATGCCATATTTGCATTCTCGCAGTGGAGGCAGTAGCAGTCCTGAATGCCAGAAACAATGTATCTGACACGAGAGAAACACACAAGCCAAAGACTAACGGGCAATTCCAAAACCAACGTGGTTCTCACACACTTTAACGTTTTATAATTTTACAGGTATGATCTCACTGGAAATCCACAGCCATCCTGGGACTTGGGAGGATTGGTATTTCTTACACTCACCCACAGATGGGCTCAGAGCCTAAAGAGGCTCAGAGAATGCTCCCGGGCCTGAGCCCAGTTATTGAGGGCAGAGTCAGGGTTACCTCTTTTTTTCTGAGATTCCTGCACTCAGTGAAGGTTGTCCTCCCCGCCCCCTCTTTTTTTTTTTTTTTTTTAAAGAGTGTTTTAGTGAAGAGAAAGCTTAAAACTGGCTGAGCAGTGTCTTGACGGAGCCCTACTTCATTTCCACTGTTTCTACCCTGAAAGCTTAAGTCACTGTCTGCTTTTTGTCTTTGTGATAAGCAACAAGTTTCCGGAAACAAATAACGAATACCATTGTCAATTCCTTTTAAAAAATTTCTTCACTTAAGCATGCGAATCTCAAAATATTCTTCAAATTATAATAGCTATTCATCCACCCACTCTGTGCCTTCAAGACAGCCGCCACAGAGCATCCAGAGCACCAAGGCACTTCTGGCTGGGTAGGTGGGCCGACTGCTTACTCCGGGATTCTGGAATGTCTCTCGTGTTTTCTTCTTTCTTCCTCCCCCTTGACATCCTCCCTTTCAAGTTACAGGTTGGGGTGAGTACCTTGAAGGGGAGAGAGAGATGAGTGTGGACCGGCCGGTTGAAGGATGGCAAGGCATTTTGAAGTAATATGGACCCCGAAAAGAAATCAAGGACAGGCACTCGGCATCTTAAGAACAAGCACCCCGTTTAATTCCAGGGTCCTAGCTCGGGTCTTTGTGTCCTTTGCAAAGTGGCCCATGGGGACATCAGGCTGTGTAGTGAGACTTCCCACTTCCCAAACGCAGATGAATGCAAACGGGTAGGAAAGTCCTGAACTTTCAAAAGCATCATCCCGCGAGAGGAAGTTTCAGGCTTGGCCTAGGGAAAAGTACCAGGAGGTGTGCGGGGGTGGGGCAGTGGTGATCTGAGAGGTCTCCAGACAAGGAAGGGGAGTCCAACCCGAGAGCAGGGAAAGCCAAGTGAGAAGGCATGGGCGCAGCGCCGGGCAGCGCGCGATCCCCGGCTTCTCGGCTGCGCGGGAGCGCAGGCCCGGAGGGCTCGGGTGACATCACCCGCGGGCCCCTTCCTCCTGCCGGGTGGGTGGGGCCTGGCGCGCCGCGCGGGCGCGGGGTCAAGGAGGGGGAAGAGGAGGAGCAGGCCTGGATGTGTCTGTGTGAGGACCCGGGAGGGGCGGAGGCGGTGGAGCGCGTGGCTCCCGGCTGCCCGCGCCAGCCCTGCCCGGCCCGACGCGCGGCCTCAGTGGCGCCCGCAGCGCAGCGCACCGGGATCCGCGCGCGGAGCGGGACCCCGCCGGGCGCGGCCTGGAAGGAGCGGGAAAGCAAAGTAAGGCGAGCAGTACTCCCAAGTTTTTCCCAACTTCGCCCCCTGCGGCGGCGGCGGCGTCCCGCTGCTCGGCGCGTCCCCAGCGCTCCCCGGAGTGGCGGAAATTAGAGGGACGGGCGGGGGTGGGGGCGCGCGAGGGAAGAAGGAGCGGGGAAAGAGAGGAGAGTCTGGCCACATCTGTGAAAACTTGGGGAAGGAGGGCGGGGAAGAGGAGGAGCGCAGGAGCGCGCAGAGGGGAGCGCGAAGGCCGCGCGCAGCGGAGCTCAACTTTTGCAACCCGGGCGCTCGGCCTGGACGGGCCCTGGTCGCTGAAAGTCGACTTGACGGTCGGGGGCTCCTTTCTTTCTCTTTCTCCTCCCACCCGCGGTTGAACCAAATCAGAACTGTCACTCAGGGCCGGTGACTCAGAGGGATCAGATTACAGGATCCCTGAAACTGATGCGCGGGCTGCAGCGGCGGGAGGGAGCGGACCGGGCCGCGCCGCCGGCGCCCGCACACTCGCCCGCCCGCCCGCCGCTCCCCGCCGCGCCCGCTCGCCCCGCCGCCCGCCCGCGCTACACCATGCCCGCCGCGGCCGCACACTGCGACCAGCCGGGTCATCCACGGTAGCTCGAGCCGCCCGCCGCTCCGCCGGCGCGGGTCTGTGGATTTGGGACCTGACAGCCACAGCCGCAGGTACGTCCCGCCCGAAGTTCTTTGTTTTGCGGGCCCCCGCAGCCCGCCCTGTCGAGCCGCCGCGCGGCGTCGGTGCAGCTTCCGTGCGCTCGCGCCTTCCCGCGCTCTCGGGGTCTGGACTCGGCGCTCCCGAGACGGACTGCAGACCTCCGGCCCCAGGGCGCGCGGACGAAGTTTGCAGCCGCGGCGCCTGCGCCTACTCCTCGCCAAGTGCCGCGCAGAGCTGGGGGCGCCTGGAGCTGCGGCTGGTCCTCGAGCCGCGGCAATCCGCAGCTCCACTGGCGCGCACCGCCTGGGGATGCGCGGGGCCGCTGCTGCCCGGCTCGCCCGGGTCCCGCCTTCACTTCTGAGGGTGGGGGTGCTGCGGGGTGAGCGGATGGAGGGCGCGCCTCCGCGGTGGGAGAGGAAAAGTGAAAGTTGTACCATCTGTGGGTGATTTGGAATTCTGTCTCTTCCTTTCCAGAGGTAGGGCAGAAAGAAAGAAAAAAGAAAGGAAGAGAAGTAGCCGTGGCCCTTGCGGTAATCACTTTAGAGGCCGAATTTGCAGAGAGCAGAGTTGGGTATGGATCACTGTATACTCTGCTAGGAACACTTAACTTTCTGGAGTTGCAACGGGGCCTGGGGATGTGGAGTTAATATTGATCCTAAACTTGAATAGTTAGGTGGTGAAGCGACTTTTCAGCAGATGGCCACATGCCCTCACACTCGGCCTAGTCTTTGCTTATTATCCTTCGGTGAACTTTGTGCCTGTGTCCCGGAGTGCACCTTTTTGAGTACCACGCCATCCCTAGGCTTCCTTAGTTATGTGTGTAAAGACCACTTAGGGAAGTTTGCTGCACCGAGTTTACACCCGCCCCCACCCCCCCAAACTTGGTTGTAGACTGCGAGATAGATTCTGGCCTCGGGTACAGTGCTCATGGCCCTCTGCCAGTTTATATGTACATATATTTATGTAAAACATTTTCTCCCAGCTCTGTGCCAGCTGTTCCACATTTTCCAGCTGCCACTTCAGTTTGAAATGATGGACTGTCGTCCTCAAGTAAAAGAACCCTTCAGTTCGAGGTATGGAGGGCCGGCCGCTGTGCAAATACAGGGGCAGTGCCATTAGCCCCGCTGGTATTATTAGTTCCAAAAAACACCTCCTGCCCTTCTTTTCCTCCCGTCTCCACAGTTACAGCTTTCTACAGCCCAGTACGTGCACTGTTGAAAATTCAAGTGATTAGGCCCCCTCTTTTTCTAAATGATTTTTGTGCAGAACTTGGATGAGGCCATTTTTTTCTTTTTCTTTCTTTCTTCTTCCTTTTTTTTTTTTTTTTTTAAAGATTCCTGAAATATGTGTCTGGTGGGAACAACTTCTAGAAAAAGAGTTGCAGCTTGAGAGCATTGGGCATGGCTGGGGGAAGGGGGGCTGTGCTATGCCATCTGAAATCATCTCATTTTAGTCTATTTAAGGGGAGACACTTCGTTCATTCTCCTCATGTCATAGGCTTGTACTGTTTGATGTCTTCACGAGTTATAGACTGAATTCTTCAAGAACTGGCCTAAAGTATTAATTTTGAGTATTTATGTAATTGCTCTGTAATTTGAATAGGTGCCTTATTGATTGATTCCCGTAATTATTTCATTTGGGTTTTAAATTAAAAATTAATAATAGTCTGACAGTTTCTTAATTACATGTGTCAAGATTATTTTGAAGCAGGAAAATGCTATGTTTTAAAATAGTGAAATAACCTCAGAATCACTTCATTTTTCTAAGGCAGAGCAGTATTTCAGTGGAGAGGCTATATTAAAGCAGTGGTGGTTGGTTTTAACAATGTAAACTGTTCAGAGTAGCTGCAGAATTTGTTTATGTTAGGAAATATTGGCCTTAACAATCTGGTCCACAAGCTCTGTGGCCAGTTAGATTATAGTCAGACCTTAAAACAAACATAAAATAACATTTAAATGAGCTGAAATTGCATATTTATACAGAGCAGAGAGTTTATTTTACACTAAAAGCTATTTAATTAGAAACTCTCCGCCTAAGGGGAGATCCTTTCAGGGTATGTAATTCTTAAGTCAGCCCAGGGAAGCTTTTGGTTTAAGATGCATGAATAAGTTCAATGTGAGAGGTGTCTAGTGAAATTTCACACAGGCAGAAACACTTTAAAAGATATAGATTGCTTTATTGCTAATAGACGGGCAGGTTGAGCTCAGATGCCTACCAATTCCCCTTGCTTTTTACATGCTTGTAGTCCTTGATTGAACTCGGGTGTACATACAGTTTTTTATTGTGTGTCTAATTTGCCAAGGACCATAGACAGAAATGAGAAAATTCAGCACTGATGAAAAATGGCTCTTTTTGAGTTATTTCATTACTTACTTAATGAAAGAATTGTTAATTTAACAATTGGATTCCAGAGCCTAAAAGTTGAACTCTCCTTTGTTTGGAAGCCGGCGAAGTTTTCTTAATTACCTGCACGCTGTAAGAGTTACAGACTTCCTCTGGGCTTAGCCATTTAGAAGTGAGTCCTGTGTAAGGCATGCTGCTTGCTGCATTCCCCTCCCCGCTTTCTGAGGACAGTTTGGAAGCTTATGAAAGGAAACACTTTAATGATCATTGTTGTATGCACTCACTTATATGGAGACAGTAATGTTCTAAGAAAAACCAGTCTCGAAGAAGTGAGTCAGTGAGTCATGAAATGCTCAAGAAAACCTTAGTAATGGAATGTTAATGCTTTTAGACTATAGTAGATTATCTTAAAAGTCAGACTTTTCTTTTTTCCGCAATTGTTGTAAAGCCCTAGCTGCAGAGTTCTTTGAAGGAGGTTTTAGTTCTTCTGGCATGCATAGTCTGATTTGTTTTGGAAGATTCAAGGAATTTTCTGCCAACTTTTATATCGAGAGGCAATCAAAATGCTGAAATGGCTACAGAACAGATACATATATGTATTTGTTAAACAAAAGGTTCTCTAATAATGATTTCAGGTTGTCTTCTCATTAAAGCCCGGGAGAATCTGCTGCCCTTCACTTGACGTTGTCATTTTTCTACATGGAAATTGATCTGTTCTACTTTCAAAGCAAATAAAAGCAGACACTAAACAACAACAGGGCCGAGTGCCGCTGCAAACTTTCTCAAGTACTTTTCAGTGTATTTTTCATCTGTACTTTTATTTGATGGGCCTGTGAAATAGAGCTGTAGACTGGTGAAGACTTTAAATGAAATTTCACACTTTGATGATTTTTTTTTAAACTTTGATATATTGACAGCAAAAGGAGCTGCAGAGCTTTTATATAACTTGAGCAGTAACGCCAAGCAGCAGTCAAACGTCTCCATGCATTTGTGTTTAACTGCAGAAGAAAAACATGTCCATGGGCAGTGGAGGTTCTTATCAACCCCCTAATCCCAGATCCCAGCAAACCTTGAGGGCATGCCTCAGATCTTGCTGAAGTCACTGTGGACTCTCACAGTTTGCAGATTAAATATGCTATGTGTTCCTGGCTCCAGCAACGGTTTTATGAGCTCACTAAGCTTCCTGTCTTAGGATCCTTTTCTTAAGTTTTTAGGGTCTGCTGAAGGCTATGCTGTCTGAAGTAAGTGGTCCTTGTTAATTTAGAGACTCTTTCCATATTTCATTCTCTCTTTAAAAATTGCCAAATTTATTATTTTTAAACTGAAAAGCTAATTATGTCGGGGGAAGGGAGGAGAGCTGCTGGAAAGAAGCTGTGTGTGCAATGTCTTTATGAGCTCATTTGTTTGCAAACTTGGTGTGTTGTCTCCATTGTTTTACACTTTCCCTTTGCCTGGCCCCTGAAAAGTAGACTTTTTCCATTTGAAATACTAAGTGCACAATAGTTCTGTGCACGTTCCTTAGCTGCCACTGTGGTATGTGTGTGTGTGTGTGTGTGTGTGTGTGTGTGTGTGTGTGTGTGTGCACGTTTGTTTCACTGAAAGTGTTTTTTGTTCTGGTTGTGTATATTTCAACCCGACAAAATGTCTCAGAAAATCTATGGCTTTCTAAAGAAGCTGAATGAAAAAGCCATTACATAGTTAATAAGGTGGCACTGGGACATTGCGGCCCCCTCTTGAAAGGCAACATTGTATTGCGTTCCATGTCTGCCTCTGTGGTATCTGTAAGCTATATCCTCTTAGATGGTGTGCTAGCATTTTGTGTACTAGTCATAATTAAAAAAGAAAATACTTACATCATTGTCCAGCACCATGTCATGTCATTCCCAAGAGAACCCAAGCCAATTTTGTGTTTAAAGGTTATTCAATGAATGAAATCGTGAAAGCCCATTTGTCAAAGTACTGCATGGTTTCTGTTCGTTTTCAAGCCCCAAATTCATTGTCTGCCCTAGCCCAGCCATTAGTCATCAGTGTATTAGTGCTGCCTTCAGGCCATGCTGCCCAGCACTTCTTCACACTATTACAGCTTTGAAAGTGTACTCTGTCGACTTGTAGAATTACTGCTCTGATTTCCGCTTGGCTGGTTTGAGGTAAGTCCCCTCCCTCCCTTCTAGCTGACTGTAATCCTTGCTTTCTTTCAAAGCTCCTTTCCAGAGATTTAGAGGAAAACTTTCTTAAGGACCCTGTTGGCATCCTCCCACGGTTTTGTTGCAGCATGCACTATACATTTAAATTGTACCTGAAGTAAATTGGATTGGGTTGCAGGCCTGAAAACAGTTAGAGGGGCCTTGGCTTTGCTTTGGCGGGGAGGGGTGGTATAGCAATAACTATACACAACGTACTTGTGTATCTGTGTAATTTTTATGTTCTGGAATTAGTTCAACAATCAGGGAGAAGTGCCATTCTTAAGTCCCTGTTGAAATAACTTTAAAATGTGTAAGTGTATTTGCTTATTTTAAAGCAAGGTTTTTTAAAAAAATGGAAGACTCACTAATTAGATGAAAGATAAGTTCAAATTTTATTAATGAATTAATGAATGAATGAGGCAGTTAAGCTCTGTTACTGATTACATTTTGTGTTTTTTTTTAAAAGAAAGATTTATTAGTGTGTG